GTTTTCTAGTCTCTTTCTAGTTTCTAGTCTAGTTTCTAGTCTAGTTTCTAGTCTGCCTTCGCGTGGGAGCAACTCAAGACAAGCAGAGGGGTCTCACATCCATATGCGAGTTCATAAAAAGACAACACTGGGGAAAAGAATCCTGGATATTTAAGAAAGAAGTTGGAAAGACTAGAAAACCTCGTGCATCCCTAGCAGCACTGCACATCTGCAGGAAGCACTTCCCTCTGCAGACACGCCAGCCCTGCAGGTAACCCCTTCTCTCATCGCCCCAAACCCCCTGCCAGCCCCTGATCCAAAAGGGAGCCACGGCACAGAGAGGTTTGCACGGAGCAGGGAACAACCACTGGCTCGCTGACCTCCTGCTCAGCCACCACCATGAGGATTATTTTTAAATCAGGTTCCCCAAAGTGACAGTACCATTTCCAGGACGTGCTTCCTGCATTTTGCACGCTCTCTTCGCTGCTTGACCCGGTGCAAATGTCAGCCAGTGCCCTGGCAGATGCAGGCCAGGGACTACATTTTATGTAGATATATATAAAATATTAAAAAAAAATTATTAAATCCTGAGTATAATCATAATTTGCTGGCTGCAGAGCCCCAAGTGGTGCACAGCTCTTGGCAGACAGATGGGGCATGGGCTTTCCTAAGTTCAAAATAAATCAATTTATCTGCCTGTGCACTGCCTGGCTTTTAGTACAACCAATCCTCTACCAAGAAAACAATGAAAATAAGTGAAAGCATTTGTGGTTATTTATTTAAATATCCAAAAAAAAGTAAATGAAAGCCACACTATTCCTTAGAAAAGTATCCTCAAACCAAATCCCTCTGCTGTATAAATATAAACTATAGCAATGTGGCAGAGCCCGATGATTATTTTATTTCAGGATCTGTTTGGAACATCAACCTTGAAACAACAGCGGAGTGGGGCAGTTTTCCAAAGCTTTCCCTTAAAGAAAATACATTTGTCAATTAATGGAAAGGATTTGTAATAAACAGCAGTGACAGCCCCACCTATTTTGGGCTGGGAATCCCCCGAGCAGCAAAGTCCTTGGGTGATCTCTTGGTGAGAGGTGGGGATATTCAAGCAGGATGTGTTTTTTGGTGGTTGGTTGCCCAAGGAGAGGGCGGTGGGTGCTCATCAGAGAGGGGCTGGCAGTGCCCCCCAGGCCAGCAGGGAGCAGCGGGGGCTCCTGCCCGGGCACCGTGCCACCTCTTGAGGTTCGGGTGTCCAGGAGCATCCCTGTGCCCTTCCTGCAGGGCCACCCGGGTTGGGCTGGGGGCTGCGGGCCATGGCATCACCCCGCCGTGCCCCTGGCACCGTGGGGGAGAGCGTGGTTTCCCAATCCTCCCTGGGATCCCAGCCTTGCATCCCTCCTCCTGCTGCTGGTCCTCTCCCCATCCTCCCTCTGCCCCCGGCTTCGCTCTCTCTCCCGAGTGCCTGGGAGAAGAGAAACCCGGCTGTAAATTAACCGGGAGGATTTTTCAGTCTGAGATGTGCGCTTCCCCCCCTTCCTCCACCCCCTCCCGCGGCGCTGTTATTTCATCTCGGCTGCCAAACTCCCGGGAATTAATCCCGGCCGGCGCTGACAGCGTTTACATCCAGCGCTGCTCAGATAAACCAAATCAGCCGGCGCAGCTGAAGGGGAGCCGGGCGCGGAAGGAAGGGCTGGCTCCTGCTCACTGTCAGCCCCACTGGGCTGCCAGGGTGTTTTCCTGCCTTTTTTTCTTCTCCCTGGGGGCTTTGCTCAAAGCCAGGAGCCACCAAAACCCCCGCACTGGTGAGGGTGGCCATGGAGGATTCCTGGAGCTCCTGGCTCTTATCCCGGTGCAGACAACACAGAGGAAGAAGGGACATGTCCTTCAAGCTGGTGGGGATCTGCAAGCTCTGTCTCCCAAGGCTTCTCACCCTGTGCCACCCCACACCCATGGCAGCACTTCTCCTCACTGCCAGCTTCCGTGGGATGGGGTTTCCTAGGAATTTCAATAGCCATAATAAAAACTGCACTGCAGTTATTGCATATTCTCTTTCCTAACCTCCCCCCTGCAGCTGCATTTCTGCCTGTCCCTCACAGTGACCAGCAGGATGCAGACACACGGTGCAGATGTGTCACCTCTGGTGCCACAGCAGCAGCAGGATGGTAGAGCCACCACTGCCCCGGCTTGTGGCAGGAGCAGGGGCCCTGTGGCCACTGCTGGGGATGGAGATCCTTCCCTGGAGCTGCAGCACACCCTGTGCCACGCCTCAGCTATCAAATCCCTCCTTCCCTCCATCTCCCAGCCACAAAACTGGGGCCACCAAGCTGCTTTCTCAGAGCTGGACCTCCACCAGCTCCCTTGGGTGAAGGGTGGCTCCTGCAGGGCGGCATCCCCAGGCTGGGACATTTGGGAACAAGGTGGGTTTAGCACTCCACGGGCACAGGGCAGTGAGGGTGTGAGCCCATTGTCCCAGCCGATTTTCTGGTGTGGTGTGAGCCTCAGCCTCCTTTTCCAGCAGCACTGGCAGAGCTCTGGTGAGGCCACAGGGCCTGGGTCAGGGTGTGATCGTCACAGCCACCCTGACGTGACAGGATCTGGGGGTAAATATTAGTACGAAGTGAAGGGCTGTGTACATATTTTCTCCCTGCAAGGTAATGCTGAAATTCCCTGCTCCTTTTCAACAAGCTGTTAGAAAAAAACAGCCCCATTTTAACACCCTCTGGCCACTGCTGGTCCTGGCTACCCTCAGCTCAGCGTGCAAAGGCTTGGGAGCTTTGGGTGCCCACTGCAGCCTCCCCACTGCAGAGCTGAGTCCTTCTGCTCATGGTTTCCCAGCTGATGGTTCCCATCTGGAGCAGAGCAGCGTGCAGGCTTTGCTGACTGTTCACTTCTGCCTGGAAGCATGTACAGGATGTGGCAGAGACTCCGAGGATGGCTTATTAATCACATTAACAGCACCAAGTAGCTTTTTACCCCACAAGAAAAGACACAGCAGGAGAAGACAGATTGAACCAGGCACTTATTTCTCTCCCCACATGAGCAGGCCTCTGGATCCCTTCTCTGTGGCCATGGCTGGTTTGGCTCAGTTTTGTGAAGCTGTAGGAAAGAAAAAGGTTCCTCTTGCAAGGCCACCCTTCTAATTGTGGCTTGGGGACTCCAGAGTAGCTCAGGTGCCTGCCCATGCAAAACTGCACCACTCAATTGCTGCTTTCTCCAACTTGGGGGGCTGGAGAACAGAATTGTTGCCCTCAGCCCAACAGGAGAAGTTGGCACCAGGCTCCCCAAGACCCTGAGCAGCCTCCAAGGCACCGATCTCTGCCCTCCTCCCTCTCAGAACAGTGTCCCCCCAGCCTCAGTCCAAAGCTGGGATTGCTCCCCTTAAAATTATTTGTGGTGAGGTGCTGCTATTTTCTACCACCCTGATGGGATGGGTTTTCCCATCCCTGGAAGATTGTCCTGGATTTGGGGTAAAGAGAAGCACAATAAACAGGATTGCTTGAATTTGTTTTCCAAGCCTCCACAGCAATGGGGCTATTGGGACCATAGCACGAGTCTGTCTGTCTGTCTGTCTGTCTGTCCATCCTCTGCCAACAACTTTGGAAATATTGGCCAGTGTCAACTGAACTTGACAGGGCCTGTTTTGCAAAAAAAAAAAAGGGAGCTGGAAAGACCCACGGGGAGAAACCACAAAGTGACCCAACCCTTCTGGGCTCCATCCCCCTGCAATGTGATCCAGCCTCAGCGAGAGGGGCAGGAGGAGCCGCCAGGGACTGAGATGTGGAAAACTGGGCTGCTGCTGCTCAGGGAGCTGTTTGTTATTTTTACAGGCTGGGAACAGTCTCACAGTCCTTGGTGGTCGTGGTTGCTGCACGTTGTGGCCATTAGCAAGCATTTTGGACTGGCTGGGCTGCCAAAGGCACAGGAATAGCTCCTGATGCAGGGAGAGACCCTGCTGCTTTCCAGGATGTACCTGGAAGCCAAGTGAAGAGCCTGGAGGAGGGGCAGACCCTTCCCTCCCCACCGCAGTGCTAAAATGCCTCCAGCCACCTCTACCACCCTTGGTGGGCACATCCACCCCATTTGCTGCTGCTAAATGGCCAAAAGTCTCCCTCAGAGTGAGCAGGAACCCTCAGACCCACACGGGCACAGGGCAGCCCCCCGACACCCCCTCACCTTCCAGCCACCCCATCAGAAAGAAACCAAGCAGAGCTGGAGGGGGTTTGATTGATTTATCCACTGAAGATACAAGTTTCAGTTTGATAACACCATTTTGTCCGGTTACAAACATACTAAAAACCTACAAAAAAGAAAAACAAGTTACACCCATGTACACAGAACTCAGGTATAAAACCAGCACGGGGAACACGAACATGAACAGGATCTGCAGCAGGGACAGGGGAGGACACGGAGTTACATCAGAGCCCACTCGTGTCCGTGGGTCACGCTGGGGCTGGGGCAGACATACCAACAATTAGAGACAACTTCAGCTGTGGAAAAAGAATTGAGCGCTGCAGCCTGGCACAGAGCTCAGAGCCAGGCAGGTGGTTTTGTCCCTCCCTTTTCCCTTTCCCTAAGCTGGTCCAAGGTCAGCGTGTGGGTTTCCCTTTTATCCCTCTGCCTGCCGCTGCTGCTGCTGGCTCCCACATCCCAGGGCAGCTTCCCTATGGCCACGGGCAGGGAAGGCTGAGGGCTGGCACCAGAATCCAGCCAGGTGACATCTGGTCCCCCTGAAGTCACTGAGCATCCCTTCAGATGGTGGGGAGATGCTGTGACCCTTTCCTGGGACAAAGTGGCAGAGATGCGAGAGGACCTCCCTGGGGAGCTCACAGCTCGGCTGCCCTGGGGATTTGTCACCCCCCAAGAGAAGAAGAGGTTGGTGGCACGAGGCCCATAATGGTTCTGGTGGTGTTGGGGGGTCTCTCCAGCTGGGTGCCTGCAGAGCTAAACTGCCGTGGATGTTGGCTGTGGAGGGGGACACATGGTGGGTGGGATCTGCTCCATCCCACCCCAGCGCCCCCCACTCTGCTCAACTCCCTCTGCACAAACCCTGAGCTTCAGGGGAGGACACACCAGCAGGTTGATGTGAGGGGGTGATACCAAAGAGACCAGGACCAGGTGCTCAAGGAGGACCCTGCCCCAGGGATGCCAAATCCTCCCTCCCTCAGCATTTCTCTGCCTCTGGCAGGGGGCACAAAGGCTTTCCCACCTGGATCACAGCTCCAAGCCAGGGGTTGGCTGGGTCTGGGGGGCACAAGGATCCTCCACGGGCAGGGGAGAGACCAGCTGGCCCCCAACATGTGCTGGCAGTGATGCCTCAGCTTCTCACCCGTGAGCTTTGGGGAAAAGACTTTGCAAGTTGGTCCCTACCTGCCAGCACCAAGGAGAGCAAAGCTCAGCCTAAGTGTGCCAGGAAGTGAAAGGCCAAGCCCCAGAGAGCAAGACCTGAACAAAAGGGGGATAAAGGGGCCCCCAGTCAGCTGTGGTGGCATCAGTGGGCTGGCAGGGACAGGGAATGGCTGTGCATGGATGTGTGTGTGTGTGTGTGTGTGTGTGTGTGTGTGTGTGTGTGTGCTGCAGAGCCATGCACAGAGCCAGAACATGCCCCCCCCGTCCCCTTTCTGCTCTTCCACATGGCATTTATCAGCCCTGTCACTCTGGAATGGTACTTTTTCCTTACTCTGTTGATCTTCATCTCTCCCCAGATGAGAATGTTGCTGGATTTCAGCAGTGCCTCCTCTGCTGTGGGCGTTTCATCCCCTCCCCTCCCCTCCCGAGCCTTGCCCCGGCCGCCCTCCTGCTCCGTGTTACTTCCTACGAAGCTGATAAAAATAAACGTGGTTTTGTTTGCAGCTTTTGGAGTGGCCTGCAATTTGGCTGATGGGGGGGGGATGCTCCTCGAGGGACAGCAGCTGCACACATCTGGATCTGCTTTAGGAAAAAGTGCCTGGAAAAAACCCCAAGCCCAGCCCACGCACACGTGGGCGCAGGGGGCCACGGGCCAGCTTTTTCTAGGGATGTAAAAAAAGAAAGGAGAAACCAAAGCACTGTTTAATGGGGAGGTGGGGGCACCTCCCTGCTGCTGCTCCCCAAAAGCCAAGGCACACGGGTAGGTTGGGCATGAGCATGGAGGATTTCCAGACGCTCCAAAGCAGCTTCTCTGCAGACTGGGAGCCCAGGTTTGGTTGTAGGGAGGGAGGGAGGGGAAGGATTTGCGCTGCAAAAATAAAATTCCCACCTGGAGATTATTAACCTCAAAGGTTAACGTGCAAATTTTGTCTAAAGATGAAACATCCCTGGACGGAAACATCCCTGGCCCAGCATCCACAGAGCACAGGGAGTACATGAACTCCTCAGAGAAATGAACTCCTCACAAATATGTGCTGCTGGCCCCAAGGCCTTGGCAGCAGTCAGCAAAGCCGTGCTCGTGAGTCCCGTGATGTGCACACACACAAATGGCACCTAACAGTCTCGATCCAAGTGATCCCTCTCCAGTCCTGTGCTGGAGGGGAGGCAATGGCTGAACAGGCTTTTCCAACATCCATCCCCAGCCCAGGCAGCAGCACTGCCCCTCTGCTGTGACACTCCAGAGCGAGCTGGAGGCAGCAGCCATTGGCACCTTCACCAGTGCGGGCTGCTGGGCTGGATTTTGGGGATGCTGACTCTGACATCCCGCCCCATGAGCGAGGCAGCACCACTTGTCACCCTGTGCCTGTCCCCCTGGATCCTGCATGCTGCCATGCCAAGCACAGCTGTGCCCCAGCTGTCATTGCCACCCAGCTCTCCGTGGGTGCCCAGGACATGCCACTGCTCCAGGCCCTGCTGCTCCTCTCCATCAGTGGTAGTGTGGGATGCAGGAAGGAAAGAACTGCAAGGCCAGAGTGGCTGCAGTGACATTATTGGAGTCCTGGGGCTATTTTGAGACGTAATAAACCTGTTCCTGGGGATGGTTAAAAGCACAGGTGAGCAAAGCAGGAGTTTCTGTCTGTCTGCTCTGGAGGAGTGACACTGCCCCCACAGTGGAGGGATGTCCCCAGGGTGGCTGTGGGGATCCCAGCTGGAAGTGTGGGCTTGTTGCCTGTCCAGCTGGCATCCAGGAGAGGAGCTGGTCTCTCTCAGGAAGCTGCCAGCTCTCCAGGACAGCGGTGGAGCGAGGCCAGAGGGAATCTCAGAAGGGAACCCTCCTCCCACTTCAACAGATAACATTGCCCTTAATGCTTGAGCTCTAAAAATAGCAGAGGCCTTTAGGGAAATATTGGGTGGCAAGGATTCCAAAGATTCCCAGCACATCTGACATTTCATCCTCAATCCTCTGCCATGCAGTTCCCAGAAATGTGATAAATCCAACCACATGTGGGCAAGGAGGCAACTGCCTTGCTGCTCCTCCTCCCATGTTCATATCTGCAGGGGAAACTGAGGCACAAACCAGGCAGACTGACCTGGAGGTTCAGGAGGAGTTGGTGTTGGAGGCGGGATGAGTGCTCCAAGCCCTGCAGCCACGTTCTGGGGGGTGTGGGAGAAGCCTTTGTCAGGCACAGGCAGGAGCCCTGCTGTCCCCAGGAGGGACACAGCTCCTGCGTGGGCTGATTTCTGCCAGGCACTTTATTTGGAGGAACCCAGTGTCACCACGAGGGCAGGAATATGCTCTATACAAGGTGTTTATTAAATTTTAACAGAGAAGGGACCTTTCCTCGTAACCAGAAATCCCTCCTGATACATCTGTGCCATCTCTCCTTCCCCTAGTCACAGCCTGACCCCCCTTCTCACAGAGAGGGCAGAGCTGGGCAGACAGACCCACACACACCAGCTGCCAGGGCACATCCTGTGCTACCCAAGCCCCTCCTCAGGGAGCTGGAGGACAGTGGCTGGACTCACCAGCTCCCCACATATGACACAGGAACCCCACCTACACACCAGGCTCCGAGCCATGAGGGATCCCCCCAAAGGCATCCCCCTCCTTCCCCCTCTCTGGTGCTGTGGGGGAGCTCCTCTCCCAGCCCAGGGGGGTTTGCAGCAGCCAGCCAAGGCCAGGGACTGCGGGTGACAGGAGAGGCGAGCGCTGCTGCCCACCTGGAGCACCCAGAGTGGCTCTGGCTGCCAGCCCTGCCAGGTGATACCCCAAAGTGCAAAGCAAAGCGTTCTCGGTGCCAGTCAGAGGTCTCCAGGTGTGCCCCCCAAAAGCCAGGTTTACCCAGGAGCTTCACATGGAAAATGAAGGTTGTGTTGTTCCTCAGTGACCAGGGCGGCAGCACTTGTGCAAGGGACTTTGAGATGGTGCAGGTGAGGTGCAGGATTTGGGAGGTGGTGATGGACAGGCCAGGACAGGAAGATGGAGCCAACAACCAATGCTCTCCCCTCGCCCTCTGCATCCCCTTCCAGCGTCCCCTGCAACTGCTTCACCTCGACCCACCCACACCCTTCACGGTTCTGTGGTTTTTTTGGCTTGTTTAGTTTGTTTTTAAACCCCATGGAGATCAAATTGTGACTTGGCAGCTGACAGAACTGGCCCTACCGGGCTCCCCAAACCGAGCAAAGACCTTGAGAAGAGACCAGAGTGAAGTCCTGGGGTGAGCGAAGCCCTCCCTGCCCCTCTCGTGGCCCCCTGGGCGCTCACAGGGTGGCACTGGGGTACTGAGCCCAGCCCACCTCCTTGTAGGCTGCTGTCACATGGGTGTAGATGAGGGTTTTCATCTTGGTCCAGGCTCCGTGTGCCTCCGGGGTGAAATCGTTGGGATATTCCTCAGCAATGACCTCCAGCATGACACCAGTGAGTTTCTGAGGGGAGGCAGACAGCAAGCAAGGGGTTAATACCTCTCCAGGGAGATGCTCACAGCAATTTTTGCTTTTCCCTACAAAACCACTCGGGTCCTGTTGCTGTCTGTAGGACACAGATGTCCTGGAGGTCTGTTGACACCCGTGGGAGCAGGCAGGACAGGCAGCAGAGGAGGGAGCTCCTTGCAGGTTGAGGCATCTCCCTGTTGCCCTGATTTTTAAAAGTGTTAAGTTTTCTTTTATAGTTATTTTAAAAGTTTTAAAGGTTTTTTTTAAAAGTTTTGTATACCTTCTGATGCTTACATATTTCTGCTAGATCTCTCACACACTGCCCATGTAAATAATGATTGCTTTACATTCTTCTTTGCAAAAAGAGAAAATTAACAAACTGTTAGTTTAACCAGTGCGGTTGGAGAGGTAGCAATTTCATCCTCCAATCCACTGTCACTTTTAAAATTCTATATATTACAAAGTAAACAATAAAATTAACTCTTTTTCTCTTTTAAACATACCAAGCTTCTGTGTACTCAGTTCATGTCCAATAACAACAATCTCCCCAGTCTGGGCACCTCAAATTATTTACAGAATTAGAGAATACTCCAGGATGGAAGGGACCCGTAAGAACCATCTAGTTCAACTCTTGAGTGAATGGCCACGTGGGGATCAAACCTGTGATTTTGGTGTTTTTATTCCCATCAGAAAGAAAGCAGGCAGAGCTGGAGGGGGACTAATTAGCCAACTAATTGAGTCCCTGCTGTTGTGCTTGATTTCCAGAAGAAGGGGGACACAGCCACAAACATGGGCACAGCCAGGTGGGCTGCCCTGGGCAGGGGGAGGCACTGGGTGCCCTGGCACTGGCTGTGTGTGGGGATGGGGGTCCCCACAGGCCAGTGGCACAGCGGGACCCTCCAGCAGTGTGGGGAGCAGCCCCCAGGTCCAGCCAAGGCCAAGCAGCACCAGCCCACCACAGCTCCTGCTCCCCTGCCCTCTCCCTGAAGCAGCCCAAAGCTTGTTTTGCTCCTATCCTTTACCTTAAAGTAGATGGGCTCCACTTTGTGCTTGAGGGCATGGGCCTTGCCCACCAGGGCCAGGACAGAGGAGACCTTTTCAGAGTCGTTGAGGTTCTCCACCACAGTGTTGATGGCCCCCATGACCCTCCGAGCGTGCTTGCGCAGCTGCAAGCTCCTCTCCATCTCCAGCGGGTCCTCCATGTGCTTGAACTGGCTGAAGTACTGCTTGGCCGAGGGGAAGTTCACAAAAAACCTGCCAGAAAGAGCAGAAATGCAATGCCATCAGGAGGGGGAGAGCAGGCTGAGGGGTTAAAGCAAAGCACGGGGGATGGAGATGCTGGAAGCCACCCCCTGCGTCTCACACAGCCAGGGCTGATTTTCCTACCCAATTCCCCAGGAGCTGCAGCATTCAACTGTCTGAAAACCAGCAGGTTGATGCCTTTTCCCCAAACCCCATCTGCTACAAGGTCATCACAGCTGGATACTCATCCTCAAAGCAGAAGCAAGAGTGAGCTCTTGATGCCCAGAGACGCCACCCAGGCGTGCCAGATGCTGCATACGTGCCCACATATATCAAAACATCACATCCTGCCTCAGAGAGCTGGAGATGAGCATGAAAACCTCTCTTTATCCCATCCAGCCTCTCCTTGCCCCCTTCCTTGCTCCCATGGGCTTCATTCCTGCATTGCCACCCAGAACAGTCTCCCCTTATCCAAGCTGCCCCACCTTTCGTGGATCAGCCCCACCAGAGTCTCCAGTGGGACCTAAGGCCTGAGCTGATGTCACTGCTCATTTGGGACATTTTTCCCAGCACAAGGATACTCCAAAAACTCACCAGCCCCTCCGTGGGGCGGCCTGGGGACCCTCTTTTCTGCAGGATTAAATCAATCCCAATAAAATGCAGCCAAAAGAAATGAAGCTGTGCTCACAGCTGATATGCTGAGCTCCCCAGGGAAGTGGAGGGCTGGAGGGGACAGGGAGTTGAAGGGCACAACAAGGAGCAGGGCTGGAGCCACCAATGGCAACACCACCCATGCCAGGATTGCAGCTGGGGCTGACTTGAGTCACTTCAACCACCCCCTTCCACCTAACTTACGCAGGAGAGAACCAGGTCAGTGCTGGCTCCCCACTTTCAGCCAGCTCCCTCCCTGGCTCCTGGGCTGGTGAAGGATGCTCAGGAGGCAGCAGAGTGCTCCCAGGCTGTCCCCCATCATTCCTGCTCCCCTCCCTAACCCCCTTCCCAAGCACCACCCCAAACCACGGGAGCCTGAACCCATCCCACCTCTCCCTCCAACCATCACCATTCTCTCCAGAACCAGGTGGGATCCTCTTCCCCACTCACCACTCCATGAATAATCACAATATTGAGTACCAGGCTCCTTTACCAGTTTGTTATCCTCCTTTCCCCCCCCTCCCTTCCTTCCCCCGCTCCCTTGGCTTGTGAAAGCTTGGGGGCATTGCCAAGGAAGTGAAGCTGTGCCTGGAGTGCACCAGCGCTTCTGCTGCTCCCCCAAGGCAGCTGGGATTCATCAGATGGCCCAAAATAGGTTTTGGAGGTGTGAAGAATGTGTGGCAGAAAGGGTGGGGGAGGAAGGAAGGTGGAAAGGGGGAGACAAGGTGTTGCTTTTAAAACCCAGAGGGGACCCATGACAAAACTCCTCTTGTTGTTGTGCAGCCTCCTCCCCCCAGCACAGCTCCTCCTGACACATCTGGTCCCTGTCGAGAGGAATCACTCCCAGGCCTGGCTGTCTGCAGCTCCTGCTGCCACCGAGATGCTCAGTCCTTCAGCCCAGAGCTGTCAGAGAGCTGCTGGGGGATGGAGCTGGCCAGGCTGCGTGGATAACATCATTCCCAGCATTTCAGACTTCTGCCCTGGGCATCTCCCCTCAGAAGGGAAAATGTTCCACTCTGGTTTAATGGAAGCATTTTTTTCCAGCTGGACTCAGCATCCCTCTGCCCTCATCCCATCCCTCCCCACCTCTATTCCAGCTGTGGCAGCTCCAGCTCCAACAGGGATCATCCTGCCAGGGTCAGAGCTAAGGGTTTTACCATCCCTGCTAGTGGATCTTTGTGGCAAGCACATTTCTCTCCCTCTCAGGATTTTTCATAGAGGTGCACAGAGAGAAATGTGCTTGCCACAGATCTTTCCCCTTCACAGGCTCCCCCCAGGCACCGGGAGCAGGGGATGTCACTGGAAGTGGGACCTGCTGACCAGGCAGGGAATGGAGGCTGCCAGCTGGTCCCTGCACGCCTCGGCCTCAGAGCCCCAAACCACAGGAAGCTCCCTGAAAAGCTGTATTTCACCTCAGCTGAAGGACAGGATGTTCTGAAGGCATGGCAAATGAGTTGAGGAAAATTCCTGGTCTGAACCACAAAGGGAATAGCAAGGGGGGACTGACCTCTGCAGCATGAGGATTTACAGTGCGTCCCCAACAAGAGAAGGGCCAAAAAGAGACCCTGGGACCATCACCTCCACCTCTGCCCACTTTTGGCCAGATATTCCAGGAGCAAAGACTGGTTAAACCCTCAACATACCCCAGCCTGCGTGAGACCAGACCAATGAGGGATCCAAACACTTGGTTTCCAACCTTTCCCTGCTTTGCAGACCCTCAGGCTGATGCCCCTATGAGAGCTGAGCCCAGCAGCTTTCTCAGGGGATGTAAAACCAGCAAACCCCCAGCTCGTGCGTTCAATCCTGTGTCTGCTGGATTTCTTTGGTGGAGAACTGAAACAGAGGAGCCCAAAACATCTTCAGGAGCAAAGCTATGGATGGCCAGAGACCTAAAGCCACCTCTCCTTGGAGAGCAGCAGGCGCCTGCAGCAAGAACTTCAGCCTGGAGCAAATATTTGAGCTGTCAAACCACAAAGAAGAGGGAAGGAGGCTCACTCAGTGGTAGTTGTTAATAAACAGAGAAGATTAATTTAACACAAAGGTTAAATATAACCAGAGGAAAGGAGGAAAAAGAAAAGAAATAAAATAATCCAACAATGGTGATTTAGAAGAGGTGTCTGTTGGGGTTTTTCCATCTGCAGAAAATTTTGACAGTTCAAACCTCTTGGGCTCTGGGAGTTTTTTGGATCATTATGTGTGCGTGTGTGTGGTTTGGGCTTTTTTTCTCCATCAGAGTCATTAAAAGATGATATTTACCATTGCATATCACACAAAATGATGATTGATAGGAACCAGATGCCTGCATACCGATCTCATTAAATTTCTTTTTAAGCGATTCCATTCTCCACCCACTAATTTGTACTCTGCCAGCTACATCTGGACCCAGTGGACAGGATGTCAGGATTGCTTTTCCTCTCTCTTTTGCCCTTGTAACAACTTTAAGGACACAACCATTCCCAGTAGCAGAGCCAAAGGAAATAATTAAGGTGCAAACCCACTGCAGTTACTGGAAACCTGTTTTCTGTTAGGAGGAGTGGCATCTCCTGCATCTCCCCGACCTTCCTCCTTCTCCCCAGAGCATACAGAGCAAATCCTGCATGGAGGAAACCTCCAAGCCCAGCCACCTCCTTGCCTCCCCAGCTGGAAGGAGGACACCTGGGTGCTGCCTGTTTCCCCCAAGCACCTAAACCCTTGATACTTTACTTCCCCTGTTTGCAAACTGTGGGGTGAAAATGCTTGTGAGCCCTCAGATCTGCTGGGAGGCTTCAGCTGAACCCCCATGTTGGGAAGGATGGATAAATATAATTATTCATAATAATACAGCCAGGATGAAAACAATCCTCCGTACTGGGTGGACAATGCCCTTGCCTACAGATAAGTCCAAAAGTCAAATGACTGTTCCATCTCAACCCCCAAAATGTACGGCTCATCCCACACCTGTAACCCTCCCCTAAAACATCAAGTGTCTGTAACCCCATTGGCCCAAGTCTTGTTCCAGCCCACCTTGAAGCCCCCTGATAAGGGGTCTCCGAGGGGCCAGACGCCCATATGGAACTTCTCCTCTCTTGGATCTTCCCCCCTCTTAGGACCTCCACCCTCTCCTGGAGCATCCTCTTATCTCTCCCCTCCTCCATCCTCTCAAGCCTCGCCATGTGCTGCGTCTGTCAGCTCCAAGCAAGACCTTTCTCCATCCCTAATAAACGTTATATCCCAAGAGCAGCCTTCAGAGTTCTCTCTTCTCCATTCATCAAAGCCATCCTGGAGCACAGCGCTCCCTACACCCCCAGCCAGCCCTTGGACACTGCTTTTTTCTAGATTTTCACAGAATCATTTAGATTGGAAGAGGCCTTTAGGATCACCAAGTCCAACTCTTAACCCAGCACTGCCAAGCCCACCACTGAAACACATCCCCAAGCGCCACATCTCATCAATCCCTCCAGGGTTGGTGACTCAACCTACCAATGCTTTCATGTTTTCTCTCACCTCGTCCCTCTACGTGGGAGAAACTCGAAGGCAGCCCAGAGCATCTCGTGTCCCTTTCAAACCTCTCCTTCCAGCTCCTCTCTGGGGTGCCCACAAAGCAGCTGATAATGGGTAGGCAGGTGGTGTGTGTGCTGCTGCTATTTATTATGCCGAGGGCTGGATCACCGCTTCACCTGCACCTTCCCCCTGCTCCTCCCAGCCACCTGTAGCCCACCGTCCCCTTCTGAGGCTGGGGAAAGGCTGCTGGCTGCTGTCTGGGTGTTCACCCAGCCCAGGGTGAGGAAGGTCTTGGCTGTGTCGATGCCACAGCTCAGCAAGACAGAAAAAGGCAAATTTAATGACTGAGAAGAGGATGGTGCCTGCCTGCTCCCGTGTCCTCTCCCTGAAAGCTCCTGGCCAGGTGGAGATGGTGGTGGGAAACATCTCCAGCTCCGTCACGGGAGGGCTGGAGGGACAAGGGCCAAGCCCCCCATCCACACACTAATGCTAAATTCAACTTCTACAGCTGAGAGAAACGTGCAGCTGGCCTTTCTCCAGGTGAAGCCCACATCTCTCTGCATCTTGGGAGCAGAATCCAGCACAATGCTGAGCTGTGCACGGAGGCTCTAATGCCCCAGTGCCCAAGGCAGAGGGACCAGGACACCCCAGCCAGGCTCCTCAGCAAAGATGCCACCAAACACATTTGGATGTGAGCTAGAAACCCCCAGGGGCAGGTCCTGCTCACTTCTGTGTGCCCAACTCACACCTCCAAGTCCTCATTGCTGTTGTTCTTCCCTACCACACGTGTGGATTCAGCCCAAAGCCTCTTGGCTGCACAGCTGAACCTTTAGGGCAGGGCTAAGGACACCTTTCACGGGAGAAGTGAATTAACAGCACCA